CCAGTAAAACAACTCACATGAAGAAATACAAGCGTCTGTTACCTGCTTCACTGTGCTTGCTTTGTGACTTTACCGAGAACACAAATCCAGCCCATACAGACTCCATACAAGTTCAGTTCTTGCTACTGGTTAGCGTCAGGATACTATTGAGCCAGCTCAAGTTGGTTCTCTATTTTATTTCCATCCAAAAAGGATTTTGTTGATGAAGAAACTGAGGCAAAATGCAGTGGTGACACATGCCAAGGAAAAGGACAAGCTTGAACTCTGACTGGAATTGCTCCCTGGTAGGGGAGAAAGGGAAAAGGGAAAAGTCAACTTGTGGTTACCATTGGGCATCACCAGTGGTTTCTATATGTCACAAGGGAGTAGCATAAACTTGACACTCATTGGTTCTCATATGAAGTTTAGGGGTATGCAGGACGGATTTTAATTGGGGCTGGCCTGCAATGTTTTCAAGCAAGTTCAAAATGCCTCAAAGTTTAAGCGAGTTTCTATGTGTGAGCAACCTTAGGTGCTTATCTGGATATTTCCTTTTCCTCTCCTTCCCTGAAACACTCTTAGTATTCATTTATTTTCTACTTTTCTGTCTTTTCTTCCACTGCCCACATGCATTTGACTCATACCACCAGTAAAAGACTGGTAAAAAGCCCTCCAAACTCTGTTACTGACAATAAATTACTGGAAAAAAGAATAAAGTAACTCCCGTATCCAGGGAGAAAAAGGACTAGAAGTGGTGGAGTGATAGTGGTGAGGCTCTGCATATCAGAATTGCTGTAATAGAACACTCTGCAGCAGCACTGATGTAGCATTTTTGATACAGCTTCAAAACAGGAAGGCCAGAAGGAAACAGTTCATTTAGGTCAGTCTTTTTTTTTCAGCTGAGCTATTTAATTTAGGTCACTTTTGAAATGAAAGACTAAAGCATTTTTGTAAACTGGTGGAGTAAAACACTTGGGTTTTTAAAAATGTTTCCAGGCTCCCCTCAGCTATGTTGACTGACAGCCTCATTTCACAGACAGACACAGCTCCTCTGAAATTGCATCCCTGTTCTCTTCCACATTTAAATATTATTATCAGCATAGATGTTACTTTATTCACAAGGTTTTGGGAGGCTACTGCACAGTAGAGCTCCCTGATAATGGCAGCGCCAGCTTACTACATCAATGTGCTACTCAGTGACAAACAATATGCTACCTTGAGCCTGTTCCATGCCATTCTCAGCCTCTCAGCACCCACTCAGCATGTAGTTCAGGCTCATGGTTTCTAACCTGGTTTGTGTCTCTTTTGGACATGCTGGAGGTTTGTTAGAGGCTACCACTGGAGTTTGGGGTAAACCATAGGGCTCTGAAAAATTTGCAGCAGCTGAAATAATCTTTGCATGATCCAGTTTTAGACTTCTCAGTAGCTCCATTGTGGGACTCTGTAGCCTACAGAATGGTTGGCCTCTGGGGCACACCTTGCTGGGGTGGGCTATAGAATCTGATAAATTTAGGCTCTTGGAACTTCCCCTGAGTTAATGTTTTCATTCCTACCAGTGAAACCGCAAGTGTTTGCTCTTACAAAAAAAAACCAAAAAACAACAACAAAAAAGCCTACTTCATGGTTTTTTTTCTGTTGTGTGGTTTTTTGTTTTTTGTTTTTTGCTTACTGGTTGGTTGGTTGCTTGCCTTGTTGTTGTTGTCATTTTCCAAACGTTAGCAACTTTATGAGATTTCAAATGAGTTCTGTTGACTGAGAGTGAGATTCTAGTGTACATAAATGTTTGGTGTCAAGGTCTGCTTTCTCAAGGTTGTTATCCAGCCAAGGGGCCATACTCTGCAGTACCAATGTGGGAAACAGATTTCTTAGGATCCCTGAATGTCTGACTCGTTTACAACAATTTTATTTTTTCTTTTTTTTAAAGAGGACCACTGGCACAACACTTTGATCTCTCCGTCATTCAGTAGCTGCTTGTTAATTTGTTACATGATGTGTGAGCTTCTAGACCTGAGAGTGATATTATTTCCTGAAGGTTCACTGTTATCTTGCATCTTATTCATTAGAAAGCAAAGAATGTCTAAAGTACCAGTGTCATGAGTTTTCCAGAAGTTTACACTAACTGCAGGACAGCTTTAAAAAAAAAAAAAAGAGAGACTGGCATTAATGATGGCACAGCTCACGTGGCAACCTTTGGACGCACTCCTTGGGGCATGAATTGTGAAATGATCCACTTTATTCCTTTCCTCAGAGAAATGCCAGCTATGCATAGCAGTAAGTTTTCACATAGATTAATTATAGGGCTGCAGGAACAGCTGATGTGCACCCAACAGAAAATGGCACTGTGGTGCAGTCAGCATCACCAGCAACCCCTGCCAGGTTAGGGGTCTCGCAGTTTCTCTGGCATGTGTAGCAGCGGCAAGGAGAAGTTCTGTCCATCCACTCCTTTGGGTGTAGCACAGACCCACATAGCTCAGACTGTTCCTTGAAAACTTGAGGTGTCAAACCCTAATAAAGTGTATTCCTGCGTGCTATTTGAAGCTGGCTGTTGGCAGAGCAGAGACCAGAGTGGCAGGCTGCATGTTGAAACAGTCAGGCTTTTCCCTTGCATCATCTGCCTTAGCTACAAGATGACAAAAGCAGCCCAACTGTTGCTTCTCACATAGCATAGCGATGCCCTGGCCTTCTAGGCAGATGACCCGGGTGAAGCACAAGCATTGCTGACATTCACTGGCACTGTGCGCTCTGCCCACAGCAAAGCGGATGGCTGCTTCACATGCTCTGCCTGCCTGGGCATCCACCTCCGCTCTGGCAGCCTTCCTGCCCCTTGAGCCTTAAAAGAAAAGGAAAAAAAAAGTGATTTAAAAACTGGAGTCTTCCTGCCGGGGCTCCCTCTGCTGGCACTGCCTAACAGGCAGTGTACCCCCAGTTCTCATAGGCAGCAGGCCCTGATCTCCAATGGGCACAGGGCCTGGGTCCAGCTCTGGCTGTCCTGGTGGGGGAAGGCTTTGCCTTTGCCTGGTGATCTCTGAGTTATTTATGTTGCCAAAAAGTGAGGTTTATCGCAGACCAAAAATTGGCCATATCTTGGGAGACTCTGGGAAGGATAGTCAGAAAAAAAAAAAAAAAAAAAGCCAAAATGCATAAGCTGAGGCACAGCAGGAGTGTGAGCTGGGCTCACAGCATCCAAGCAAAGTGCCCGTCTTCCTGTCTTAGCTGCCCAGAACTGCTCCTTCTGCAGCTTCAGCAAGTTGACATCTTCTGTCTCCCGTGCACACACAGCTCCCCCACTCACTCTAGAGGAAACCAGGGTGTAGACTGCACTTGCACTAGAAATTCAAGTCAGGAATTCAACTTCCAAAATTGCAATAAGTGGAAGCAATGCATGAAGTGCCTAATTTTGCCAAGGGCTCATTGGTCCCAAATATGGGCACAACCTCAGAGTCCCAGCAGCATCCAGCATCCCAGGAGCAACCTGCATGGACTATGCACTGTGCATTACTGCAGTGCTTCACCTACCAGTATTTTTGCTATCACCGTAGCATTGCTGAGCTACATCCTGAGCACTCTGCTCAGCTTTTCTCTTGGGTAGGGATGTCTCTGACAAGAGTGGGCATTGTGCTGAACAAGGACTGCTGGACTTGAACTTATGGGATATCTACAGAGCTGTCTTGTGAGCTCACAGATACTTGTGTCCTTCAGGCACTCCCTCAGAAATCACCGTCATAGAGGTTCAAAAAGATGCTTTTTAATCTTTCTCAACAGCTTGTTTTTCGCTCCTCTCCTCTCCTCTCCTCTCCTCTCCTCTCCTCTCCTCTCCTCTCCTCTCCTCTCCTCTCCTCTCCTCTCCTCTCCTCTCCTCTCCTCT